AGCTTCGGGGTAATCAGGGATTCAGAATCTTCGATTCAGCACCTTCGGCATCAGGGACAAAGGTCGCCGAAGGTAATCCTTAATCTCCCGTGGTCGCTCCTCGAGACGTAATCGAGGGTCGTTTGGCACGAACCCTCGCAGACCAATTCATTGGTACGGGCTGCTTTGGTAGACATGGTCGGCTTCATGCAGTGGTAGCAAAGTGGTTTTCGGTCGCACATTCGCATCACCTACGTTTTCCTCTGTGTACTTTGTTGAGCGCGGACCTACACACGATGTCGGAAATGCTTCGGCGTTAGAGTGTCTCATTGAATTGGCATTGAATACTAAGGGGCAGCCGGTGGCGGTCGTCGTGCTATTGTGGCGTAAGTTGCCCTTGGTTTGTCAGATGCCGCTTCGCTCGCAGAACTCTCGGTTGAAATACCTGTCAAACTTGTTCCGAAACAATCTCGGCAATCAAAATAAAAGCCGGGCAACTGATGGCAGGAAGTAGCTTCCTGATCTCCTCCCAGGCAACGTCGTGGGTGATGTCGTGGATGCCTGGGAGGCTGGCGTCGAAGTAGTAGCTGGACAACTCGAGTGTCGAGACGCCGGGAAGTTGTTCATAGTGGCAGGCTCGGGCATGCAGTGCACATTCCATGTTGGAAGCCTCAGTGATATGAACACTTCGACTGTTGTTGGGGGTTGCGGACAAGGCTGCCGAAGGTGTTGTCCCTCACGTGGGGCGCATGGGATTCTTAGGTTCTTGTCTTCTGTAGCATCAAGGTCGGCGTGGGCGTGGGCGCTCGATCAAGCGCAAAACATCCTCCACGAGTGCGGTGGCGCTCTCATTGGGGCAGTGTCCTGGACAGAATCAAGAATGCGGCTCTCTTTCGTTGATGTTGGCTGACGGATGCGCGCTTCAGCTTGATCTTGCAAACTTCCCATGACGTTAAGGAGGATCCACGGTTCTCAGACCGGCGCCGGCAGTTGCTTCCACGAGAAGTATAGGTTCTGCAGGAGCTGGTTGTCTGTCCACCCAATGTGGCGGGCGACACTGTCATATTGTTCAATCCAGTCCTTGACGTCTTCATACAGCTTGCGTGAAAAAGCGTCGGAGTGTGATTTGCGACGGGCATGCAAACAATGGTGGGAGGGGACACGGTTTGCTGCTACAGGTTTGTCATTGTTGGCTTAGTCAGCTTTGGATTTTCTGACAGGACACCGAATTCCGGTGGTTTTTCCTGGTAGCAGCAACTGGCTCGGATTTCAGGTGCTTCGTGGTGTATTTCCGAGGTTACTCCTTGTGGTACTCGGTCGTCTTGCGGTTGTTCTGCCAGGCTCGGGTCAGGACTTTGCCTACGGCTCGACAGGGGTATAAGACGCAGAATAGTCCGCCAGCCGTGTCCCATTATCGGGTAACTCGGCTGAAGAGCCGCCGGGTTCACACAGAGTGAAGGGCTACGGGTAAGGTGCCCAGTACCTCCACCTGAACATACGATTACAGCTGAGCATGACCTGCAGTGTCCCAGAATAGTGAATATTGATAGAAGATAGGACTGGAACAAGGATCCGTGACAGTATAACAAAACTAGCAGAAGAGAATCTATCCTGACCACTGAAGAAGCTGCATTGCTTTAGTGGCATTCTGTCCGAATAAATCCTCTCCTTCGGGGTTTGGCGACTGCCGTGGACGAACTGAACTGAAATGGATGTGGGACCACTTTTCTGGTAATGAGCCACTGCAGACTGTTGCCACAAAGCGGCGTGAGCTGGGTACGTAACACGCTCGGTGAAATGTCCGGACAGCTTGCAATTCGCGTAACGAGTGTGGATGAAACGTTTGTGTTGACGAAACGTGCGACAGGCCAGCGGGATCAATACCAACTGCAACACCTGTGCTCCGTGAAAGTGCACGGCTACGCCGGAACAATTTCGGAAGCAGCACAGCATCACCTAAAGCATGGCACAGGAACTACCAGCTTGAAGGCAGCTCTTCGGTGCGCCGCACACCTGTGCTCCGTGAAAGTGCACTTCTACGTCGGAACAATTTGTAAGCAGCACAGCATCATTCAGCACGGCACGGGAACTACCAGCTTCAAGGCAGCCTTCCGGTGCGCCGCACAACCGAAGTGAGCCCTCGGTCATTTGATCGAAGCTGCACCGTGATTGCACACCGCCAAGCACGACTCACGCAATTTCCGTCGCTAAACTGTGTATCCAAATATATTGCACACGCTTCACTGCAAACCTCGAAGATTCCGATGGTCAACGAGAGCACAGAAACGTCGCCTTAAATTTTATCCTAGCGGTATCCGAATCAATCCGAGGTCCGAGCAACGTAGGTCAGATTGTCTCTTCCGTGGCAATATCCCGATCGGTCACCAGCGAAATGCACACCGTTTCTCCGTATTTTCACGTTATACCTACGTCAAACACCACGCTGAACTCTGAACTCGCTTTCGACCGGCCTCATACGACGGCTTCCGCGTCTGAAATCAACTCGCCGAGACGAACGACAACCAACAAAGCATCCGACAAGCTCCGGCCCAGCTGGGGCCAGCCGCTGCATGGGCGCTGCCATCTTTCCTGTGACGTCACGTATTTGGTTTGGTCATGTGACGTGTGGTCAAATTTGCGTACAATGGCAGCCTCCTTATGGGGGTCACTTTCGAGTGCAGACCGGAACCCCGGTTTATCGCTCTAAGCCGGTTGCACCCACCTTCACTTGAGCCTCCCTACACCGAACTCTGGACACCTACCGCCATCTATGAGCGATGGCGGCAAGCCATGTACCTGGTTGCCGCTGTCGCTCATAGATGGCGGCAGCCCCGCGGGAGCAAGGGTGCCTATGACAATGTGAACCAAAGAAACCTGTGGGACATAATGGAGAACTTAAACCTAGATGAAGGACTAACAGCACTATTAAGGAACATTTACAAAGATAACAAGGTGATTATAACATGGGAAGGAAAGGCGACAGGGAAAATAGAGATAAGACGAGGCCTTAGGCAGGGGTGCCCGTTATCGCCTTTGCTGTTTATGTTGTATCTGAGAGGATTGGAGGATAGACTAGAGAAGAGTGGGCTTGGGTTCAACCTTTCTTACAGTAAGCTAGGCCAACAAATTCAGCAATCCTTACCGGGATTGATGTATGCGGATGATATTGTACTAATGGCTAACAACAGGACAGAGTTGCAGGAATTAATGAGCATCTGTGGTAGGGAAGGAGAGGAATTAGGTTTAGAATTCAGTAGCGAAAAATCGGCAGTCATGATTTTTAACGAGGATGAAGTTGAGAGGCTGAAGATACAGAATATTACAGTTGAGAGAGCTAGTAAATACAAGTATCTAGGAGTATGGATATGTGATGGTGCAGAATATCTCAGAGACCATGAAAAGTATATAATAGGTAAGGGCAACAGAAATGCAGCTGTAATGAAAAATAGAGCACTTTGGAATTACAACAGGTATGAGGTGGTGAGAGAGATTTGGAAAGGGGTCATGGTGCCTGGCTTGACTTTTGGAAACGCAGTGCTATGCATGAAATCCGAAGTGCATGCGAAACTAGAAATAAAACAGCGCGGAGTAGGTAGACTGGCTTTGGGGGCGCATTGCAAAACGCCAAACCAGGGAGTACAAGGAGACATGGGATGGGCATCATTTGAGAGCAGGGAAGCGGTGAGCAAGGTAGAATTTGAGGATAGGTTGAGGCTAATGGATGGGGAGCAATGGGCACGAAAGGTTTTCAGCTATTTATACATGAGGAGTGTAGACAAAGTGGAGACAGCGCACTAGGAAATTAAGAGGAAAGTTTTTGGGCTATAGCGAAGATACGGAAGAGCAAGTCTCAGTTAAGAAGAAAGTTAAGGCCACAGAAAGAGATCGGTGGCTAGAGGGAATGCAGACAAAGACTGCTCTGGAAAGCTATAGATTAAACAAAAGAGTTATTGCCAAAGAAAGCATTTATGACAATTCTAGGGGAAGCTCATTGCTGTTTGAGGCAAGAACGGGTGTTCTGCGAACCAGAACATACAGAGTGAAGTACCAGGAAATTGATACAGTGTGCATTGCTTGTGGAGAGGAGGACGAGACGGCTGAGCACTTGATACTCTACTGTAAAGGGCTTCACCCTATGCCTACCGAAGACAACATAGATTTATAAAGTCATTGGGTTTTAGAGACAGCGAAGGGAGAGTGGATTTCAAGACTGTAGAGATTACCAAGCAAAGATTAAGTGAATGGTGGCAGAAATCGAGAGAAAACTAGGTATTTTCTTATTCACTGATGGCAAGGGGGTTTCATAGCCTCACTTTCTTTGCACTGCGGAGTGAATATAGATTTCACATTTAAATATTCTAAGCTTAAATGGTAAAACAAAATGGCTAGGTGGCGTAAGCTACCGCCCGATCCAAAGGGCTCAGTCGTATTCATCCAGAGTTGCGCGTTCATCTCCGTAGCGCCGTCTTTCTTGCACGGCATGTTGATACCGCTCCTCACATGACTGAATTCGGCGAATAGCGGCGCCGCGCGTTCGACGCGCGCGGCGCGCTCAAAAGCAGGGGAACGTACGCCGGGGCGCGTGCAACGTCTGCTTTCCTGCACGGCATTTGATCCGGCTCCTCACGTGATCGGATTTCGGCGAATAACGGCGCAGCGGCATGTGGAAAACAGACGCGCAAATCTCCCCCCTCTCACCCCCAGCTTGCTCCCCCAAACCCCCAAAACCCACCGAGAACCAGTGACAAAAGCGCCCAGTGCGCAAACAGTATTGGCCCTCTCTTTCCCCCCCCCCCCCCCCCCCCCCCCAACCTCTATCACAACGCTTCTCTCTCTACCTTCCCTCTGCTTGCCAACTTGCGGCCGGACATTGCTTTCCCTTGTACAGCTCCGCTGGTCTTCCTTCTTCCCCAGAGTGGAAAGGCTGACAGTTTTTTTTTTTTTTTTTTTATGGCATGGAATTTTTTCTGTCCATCTGCTGCAGTTAAGTCATGCTGTCAATGACAGTGTTGTTGGAATAATAGGTCAAAAAGAAGGCCTTGGGTGTCGCGATTCTGGCAGTCCAATAAAATATATTTTCAACATGATGGCAATGATAACGGGAACTGAAGCGCCACCTCTGCAAGCTCCACCTGAAGCGCGAGGTCACGAGGTGGCTGTTTTACGTGTGTTCCATTTCGGGCAATCATCAAGGAACGAAGAACATGAATTCTCTTAGGAAAGGGTCTCTTTTGGTGCGCCAAAGAATCACACTTCCCAAACGACTGAAAGAGACAATCTACCAAAATGCCCCAGGGAAGGACCTGGACCCTTCGAGGAGAGAAAAGGTGAGCGCCTAGATGCACGCTTCATCCTGGGTACACTGGTGGAACCAGGATGTTTCAACGGGCTTCCCATCTTTGAGATATTTTGCCTCGTTCACAGATCATGCTCAGAGCAAACTCGCATTTCTTGTATACCAGGAAACGATACGTACGCTCGTTGTCACTAGAGTGTTTTAGTAGATCGTTCCGATACCTGGTTGAGATTACGCATGCGCAGAACGCAATGGAACGGCCAGCGTATTGCGTGCGCGTTGCGCGCTAGCGGGCTTTGCGGGAAGCTCTCGAGAGATATCGGGCCAAGCGTGAGCACAAGTTTTAAGACGGCGGTCATCTCGACTGGCGCAGCAAGGGCGACGTGGTGTCCGCGAAGTTCAGTGCTACGTGAAGAATTGCGTGGTGTTCAGCTCGGCGATTCTTTGCGGGACCCACCGCAGTTGAATCAGATCGCCGTGCAGTTGAAGGAGTGCGTAGTGAATATGTTCAGCGTTCGCAATGTGCGTGAACGCTGCGATCTGGTCAACGCTAAGCCTCTTCGCGCAGTTCATCGCCGACGGACGAACGACTCTTCGAGAAATCACCGAAGTTGTCGCTATGCACTGGACATTGGCAGGTCATAAATTTCTTCCCGCGATAGCATTGATAAAAGGTGCCGTTTCCACGAGACGATTGACGGAGGCTCAATCCGTGATCGAATTTGGCTATTAACTTGTACCTGTAGCCTCCGTACCCCGGAGAAAAGCGCGCTTGACCAAGCAGCTGCGGCTTAGTTTAATTTAAAATAAAATTATTGGAAACGTCTTCTTTTTCAGTATTTATTTTGAGGGACATGGTAGTGCTAAAAGCACGCGGAATTCTGCGACTCTGGCAATTTGAATAAAAAAGATCACGTTAGATGTTCTCTCGGCAACGTAACGCACATCCAAAATCGGTCCGAGCAGGTCGTTTTTAGCATACGCGATACTACTGCGTATTGCGTACGTAAGAGTCACCAACGCTATACTAAAACTGTCTATAAAGATGCCCGATACGGTATACAGGATGTACGCGCAAAGGCGTCGGCGGGTAATGGGGTGTCGTTATCGGAGCCATCAGATATCGATTTGCTAAACCTGCCAAGCATGGTTTGTGGCGTTAAAGGCTGCACTGCGCTGGCATTTCCTGCAATGAGCTGCCAGTAACAAAAATTTGGACTGGGGCCAGCTGAACTTGGAGGAGAGATGAAGCGTGAGAAACAGGTCGGAAACGTGGCGCCAACAACGAATGCTTACAGACTTCCTGCGATCCCGATGTGAAAACCACAATGCCTTCAAGAATTTTCTCATAATGACTAGGCACTCAACAGAAACCATCTGGAAAGAGTGGTTTCTACCGATCCTGAAACACCATCTGGCAAGACGCAACCAAAACAATACCAAAGGATGGCCTGTCCAAGTCATGGGAGACGTCGACATATCAGAAAAGACCAGGGAAGTGTTAGAAAAAGGCCCAAAATATGCCTTACCTCCTAAGCTTGAGCCAGTGGACAAGCTAGCTATGGTGCGAAACATCGCATCTAAAACTTATGATGAAAAGGCCTCGCAAGTAATCAGTGAAGGAGTGGATTGCCTGATAAGCCATCGGAAGCAGGAAATTCCACGTACGAGCTTCCAATCCACCATTCAAGAGCTACGAGAGAAGGACCTGAAACTTTGCATCTCAGACAAGGAAGGTGGCTTCGTGGTTTTAGGATCGGGAGCATATGGTGGAAAGGCGTCTCAAGCTTTGGCCAAGAACTTTATCCAGGTTGATAAAAAACAAGGCAAGGTTGCTAAACAGGTCATCATGAGATTGTTGCGAGATAACCAACTAACCAGCCTGCACACGAAGATCAAGGGAACAAAGGAAGGATTTTTAGAAGTTTTTTTCTCAGCCAAGACGCATAAAGAAGGCGTGCCGTTTCGTGCTATTGTGTCAGAAAGGAGAACCTGGCAAGCACATCTTTCAACCTTCCTATCAAGGCAAATGTCGTTAATACAGTGCAATGACCCATACATGATCCGAAATTCAGAGGAAGTGATTTCATACCTTCAGCAAAAGGGATACGAAATAACATCAGGATTTTCAATCGACATACAAGACATGTACTATTCTATACCGCATGCAGACCTCATGGTGATTCTCAGACGCACCATAGAAGAGCAAGGCTGTACATCTTTCCAAAACGCTGCGGGCATAAACGTGGACACCTTCCTAGAGCTGCTCAGCGCGTACCTGACAGCTACAGTTGTTGCACACCAAGAACAACACTTCGTACAAAGAAGTGGGGTGTGTATTGGCTCTCGTGTGGCCCCACTATTGTGCGACTTGTTCCTTGCAGCACGAGACAGAATCATCCAAGAAAAATTACAAGACAAAAGAATCCTTGCCATCTTCAGGTATGTTGACGATTTCCTAATTCTTCACACCAAAGAAAAGGAAGAAGATCAAAGCAAAGGATGCATAGACACGGTGTTGAGATGCTTCGGGGAAAGTTGCCCAAAATTATGCTTCACACACGAGCCAGCAACAAATAGGTGCATCAAGTTTTTAGATCTGAAACTGGAATTTAATGAGGGACATGTATGCTGGAGATACGAACCCAGGTCGAACAAAGGGTTTTTGCCATTTGCATCTGAACATTCTAATACCATCAAGCGAAGTGTTGCCATCACCGCCCTTGCAACGGCTCTGAACAAATCATGTCATCACGCAATAGAGGCGAGTTTTCAAAAACAAATTTCCCGATTACGTGAATCTGGGTATCCAAATGACCTATTGATATGCGTATGCGAGAACATCTGCACAAAACTCAGGCGGAGGTCAACTCATCCAGAAGAAACTACGAAGGCAAAGGAAAAACAGAAAATCGCAGTATTACCTTATGTCCATGGAATAACGCACAAACTAAAGATAGCCGCAAGGCAGGACATAAGGGTCGTGTGCTCTGCCCCAAACAAAGCATACTCCATGTGCAGAAAAGTAAATGAAGACACCAACCAGAAAAAACAAATCTGCAATGTTTCGCACAAGACACAGTATGCCCCATGCGAGACCGGGGTCGTTTACCATATTCCCCTATCATGTGGAAAATGTTACATCGGCCAGACGGGCAGATGCGTAAACGAAAGGATGAGAGAGCATGCAGCATCGGTTAAAGGAACAACGGCAGGCCATCTACCAGCGCACTGCCGCTCGTGCAGATGCAGTGCAGAGCTCAACAATATTTCCACCATAGCAAGAAACAAAAACACGTATGCTCGGGAAATGATAGAGACCATGGCCATAGAGGGGAACCAAGCGACATGCGTCAGCGAGCCATCAATCAAGCTTAGCACCAAAGAGAAGCAATTTTTGCGGTGCTTTCCGCCCCGCAGGCGTCCAAATGTCCTTTAAACATTGAGCTCCAGAAACGAAAACGAAAAGAAGAAGAAAAAGATAAGAAAGCAAGAATTTCGAAAACAAAAGCAGCAGAGGATCACGGGAGGAAAGAAAAAGAAAAAGAAGAATTAAAACCGTAGTTGGTAGTCCAGCGGAGTGTCTATGTCTTTTTCTGTCCCTGTTTCTCACGCTTCATCTCTCCTCCAAGTTCAGCTGGCCCCAGTCCAAGTAACATGCACCAACTGGCTCAACTGAAACCCGTAACTCAGTAACAACAACCCTCATGCACGTTAGATGGTCGAGGTGCTCGCTATCGAGGAACACGCGGAAGGTTGCGTCAACACCTCATCTATCACCGTTCACAAAAAAAAAAAAAAAAGACAATACCTACAAAATGTCACGCCCCAAACAACAACAGCACGAGCTTGTGGCGGGTTAGTTTAAAAACAACAAATTTTAGTTATTTTTGTGTAAAGCTTTTTGTATAATTTTGTATAAGTGTTTATTATCAGTAGTATTCTTTATTAGTGCAATAGATTTATTTTTGCAGTAATTTTATCCAGCTTTACTTTGGATTCTGAATGAAGAAGCAAACGCGCAAAGAAGTTCACACAAAAACATCGTCGGTAGTCTGCCGTTTGCCCTCTCCGGTCCATTCTTCGTGTTTAAACCAACAAGCTCAACTACTAACCGTTATTACGTTCGAGCTTTGGACTACGTGTGTAGCGCCAAAAACACTTACATTACCGATAAACACTTTCAAACCCTGAGTGGGTTCGAAATTCGATAACACAAAATGGCGGAGGCAAAGTGCCACCTCCTGGTTGCCCTACCTCCATCTCTGGTTGCTCTACTGTCGGCATCTTCAAAAGAGTGTCATACGCTCCCAGTATAAAGGGCTCTGGGCATAGGGAACGTTCAGCGTCACCTACAGGTGGTTACCGTCACCTATATACACCAATGAACCGATAGCACAAGCGTTCGGAATATACGTGAAGCCGCCATGACTTTAATTCACAGGAGGCAGGCGGCCCCCAGACATGTCGTGCTCTGCATGCAGACGTAGAGCTCCAACGAGGTTATGGAACGTGCAGAAAGAGTAATGATACCTCGATGCATTGCAGCGCGGTGGCGTATCCAAACTGTCTGGCGAAATACGTCTATTAACTCGACTCTCTGACGACGCCATGCAGGCGCTGTGGTGGCGCTACTGTCGGCACTGCGCATGCGTGGACGCTTCCTCTCACAAGGATCTGGTTTCTGCGAAGGCGTGGTGCGCAACCACACCTGAACGCGGGCTTGTTTGTAAACAAAGTGTTGGTCTATACTGGTCTATACAGAGGGACAGCGCGGGTCACGCATTGTATACACAAGCGTCAGCGCGATCCATTAAGATTCGTTTTTAATCAGGGGAGAACGAGTCTCAGCCGTACCCCAGCGCAGCAGTCGTGACCCCTCTGTGCCTGGCGCTGGCCTTCTCAAGTTGACACGGGATTTGTCTTCTAGATGGTATCGACTAAGCGCCCCTGTTCTACCGTGTGTCGCAGGTCGTAACACGGTGGAAAATGCTGCTCTCATCTGCCGCCACGGCGATCTTTGCCACGGTCATCTTTGTGCTGTGGTACGCTTTCGAGGTATCGAACAAAAACGACGGCCAAGATTTCTTTGCAGGTAGGCGGCAAGGCGACGTACATCGTAAAATATTGTGTAGCCCTAATGCATTAATACTTATAATGCGAAAGCTGGGAACTAAAACAACAACAAAAAAAAAATCAAATTGAGTCACCCATTCGAAACTGACTCCTGGTATGTTCTGGCACGGAGCATAACTTGAACCTGGCAGGGATCAGTCTGGACATTTCGTTTCACTGTAAGTCCGATCGCAATAGACGCCACACGCGTTCGATGGAGTTATTCAAGTAGTGCCAAAAAAGTGCATCGTCAGAGCGCGCTCATCATCTGATTCTTTGTGCGTTTTCTATACCCTCGGCTGAGCCAATCACGCAGGGTGATTGACTGACCCAGCACTTTTTTTTTTTCGGGGATCGGTGTAGCCGGTGATAGAAAACACACAAAGACCAGAAGAATCGTGATGATGTATTTTTGGCGCTGTTTGATTGAATCAATCAGATCGTAGTATCACGGCCGCGGTCGTGAAAGGAAGTAGTGTTTTAGCCAGTGCGGATTGACCTTATCATTTAATCAAAACGCTTTTTTTTTACTCGTCATTCTGTACTTCGTTCATTGGCTCTTCGAAATCACTGCAGGGATCTGGCGTAGGGGAATTTTTTTGAACCAGTTACTCGTTGTTTCTGATGATAACTGAAGAGTTGTAGTACGGTCTCGAAGTAATTTGGGCGTTTCTCGAAGTGAATTGACCATTATACAATTCATCCGTTATTACGACGATTAAAGTAATCTAGATACCTTCGCAGGGGGAGAGACTAAAACCACCACTGCCGGCAGGGAAAACGTCCCAGACATTAAGCCAGTAGAACAAGCGGCGTCTCTTTGCACGTCAGCCAGTTGCCAGCAGTTCTCGAGCATCTTCCAGTTGACCCTGCTGAACGAAACCGACCCCTGTGACGACTTCTATCAATACGTCTGCGGCGGCTGGAAGGCACGCAACCCGAACGAATACAGCGTGAAGACCGAACACCAGCAGCGCATCGTATCCCTGATGGAAACCATCCTCTTGCAGCGCCGACTGTCCGCAAAGACCATAGACGACAAGGCACTGTTCCTCTACGATAGCTGCATGACGCTGAGCCCGAACCAGGAAACACTGAGAATGATGCTACGCGAAGTCGGGGTCGATAACGACGCCGATTCCGGAGAACATCCCCTGGAGAAGATGATCCGTATCAACGCACTGTTTGGAGTCAGTATATTGTTCGACATCAAGAGGAGTACCACGATTACGTGCGCCGGAAGGAGGATACTAGTCTTCCATCTCATCAACCCTACTATGTATACTATGGCTCTAGAGAGGCTGATGAAAGGCGAGGGTTTTATGAGAAACGTCTTCTGGAGCGTCCTGAATAAGACGCTTTCTTCGGAGACGTTCAAGGAGATCGACGAGGTGAACAAGTTTCTGCTTTCGAGGAGGATTGAAGACGTCTCTATGACTAGCACAAGACGCTTCAGACTTGCCGACGGAGGTATTTTTGCGGGAAACGTTAGGTTGAGCACCGTGTTCATGTACCTGGGGAAGTACCTTAAGCAAAAGTTTGAAGAGGAAGACTGCATTGGCGCGGACTCCTCTGAACTCCTCACCACGCTTGGCAGCTTCCTGGAGAGTTTCAAAAACGAAACACTACACAGGTGAGTCGACGGACACCCTTTTTTAATAGGTCAAGATTTTTTATGATCGGGCTATGTGATATTCGGATACTTGTTTGGATCTGACTAGAATAATGAATGGCTAACGAGGAACACATTGAGATAATAACCAGAAGATCATTGACACCAGTGGTATTTACACACGTTAGCTTTACTCTCACGCTTACTTTCTCAATTTAATGAAATTTACAATCTGAGTTTTAAGAATCGCATTACACAAGGATTGTATGTGTTGTAACAGTCAAAGAGGTACTTTTGTTGGGAAACATGTTACATGGAAAATTTACGTGCCTATTCCCAGGAGAACCTGACATAGAGTTTTCCAATAAGAGCTCTCCGGCCGCCGCCATTTTCCGACTGTCGTGGCCCCTATCAGCCAGCTATTGACTTTTTTTCAGAAATCGCTTAGCGCATGCGCTAACTCTGAGAGCGGGGTGGAAAGGGAAAGGCGCCATTTTCGGGTGCTCTCTCATCGCCATGCCTCAGCACTGCACAGCTGTTTAGTTGCTCATATAGCAGCAAGAATGACTAAAATGCAAGATTTTTGAGTTCCAGCAGCCTTTTGCGAGTGGTGCACCTGATTGTTAAACATTCTGCCTTTTTCGCCCGGCTTTCAAAAGCCCCCGTTTTAGAAGCGTATGACGCGAATCCCCGTGTCAAGTGGCCGGGTCCTCAACGTGAAGGCGGGAACATAATGCTCTTCATTAAACGTCGTCAAATGCACTGGTCAAGGCGAGCGCGTTGTGATTGTGAATACTTAAAATAGAAAGAATAAAAACACGGAGGACTTTCACATACAACCAGAAACTTTCATTTAGCGACGACGAATGTTTATTTCCGGGCGCGAGAAATTTACGCGTTTTTCAAAAATTGGGGAGGGCTGAGAGAGAGGAGGTTACCATCGGGAGCACCGATAAGGACTAAGTCACCGTACCGTGATTTCCCATGTTTAAAATTTTTTTTCCAGTTCTGGCCTAATAAATTCTGTTTCACGTCTTGTCAGGCCTAACAATGCAGAGGAGTCGTGTTTTTTCTTTTTGATGAAGAATGGTTCAATGATTTCACGTCCGAATCGTTGATGACGCGTTCCCAGGACCTTGGTGCTGCCAAAGTTCGGTGCTCACCCAAAAGACTTCTTCGCATGAGCAGCGATGGGATCTGTGGGATGATACGCTTCTGATGTTGCCTCATTTTGACGCTCTCATAGACGGTCATTTACGCATCGGCGAGTTTGCCAAATGTATTCAGTACCACACTTAAGGGACACTGAACGCATCTTCTCGGTAGCAAATTCTCTGAAGTAGGTGTTTTTTTTGTTTTTTTTTTCTCGCAGGGTGGTCTAGACTTTCTCCAGTTAATCATACTGCACAGGCTCGCAAGTTTGAATACGCAGAAGACTTTCGTGTTAAAGCGGGTACAGCGATTGATCGGATGCGGTGGCATGCGTTGTGAAAGTATGGGATGCTGGTGATCCTTTGCCATGCAGGTGGGGGGTTCCTTGTAGTTCTTGGTGTGATGAGTTGGTGAGAACAAGATTCGATCCGTTTCACTGGATATCCATGTGCTCAGAAGCCGTTGAGTTCGGGTGTTGATGCTTTCGGTTGCTGAATACGGACATGATTTAGTTTTTGCCTAGATGAGTAAGGTCTTGATCACCCCCAGTTTAACCGACTTGGAGTGGGCACTTTTAAACAGAAGAACCGGCTTTTTTGAGCGCTGAAGTCCAGCAAACACCGTGCGCCACACGCGCACGACTCGGTCGTCTGCGTCACCGTCGGCCGTTGACCATTGCAAGTTTTTGGCCCCCTTTTTTTTTTAAGTAAGGCAGATACGCTTTGTAATTATACAAGATAAAACCGACCTGTGAAATACTCCTTTGACAGAAAGTTGATTGCTACGTGCAGGCGCCGATTTTCACTGCCCATTTTGTATATTAGGTTGCTCAAAATTTGTTGTTATATTACTTTTTTTGTGTGTCTGCAGCGAATACAGGACCGTGGAAACCGACTTTGTATCGCTGTTGCAGCGAATATATTCGCTAGGAGCACTTTTATTCGCCATGTATTCGCAACAGAGATTTCGAGTGTGGTCAGCCTTACGCTTTCTCCGACTCAGGTTCCTGGACTGGTCGGTGCTGCGGCGGGCGGCACCGATGGCCGACCCTAGCCTGGTGGAGGGCAAGTACCGCCACATGTACTGCTTCGACAATCTGGAGAGGGTGCTCAGGCATCCGACCTCGGCCAACTACCTGCTCACGCTGGTGGCACCTGGAGACCACACCATGCGCCAGGCGTCCAACCTGATCAAAGCCGTCGTGGACGCGTCGCTGTTCCTCATCGGAACCACGGACTGGATGGGCACCGCCGAGAAGCGGGCCGTTGGACGGAAGATGAACAACATTAAGCGCGTCATGGGATATCCACGGGGCCGTATGGATGGCAAGCAGTTTCTTTCCTCGCTGATCATAGTCGTTGTCAGCTTTAGGAAATGCAGGGCCCGCCGAGACCCATCATCGCTCAGCAGCCGTTCACAATAAGATGGCGTCATGAGGCGATAAGAACGCTGATAAAGGGACCATGATGCAAGAACAGTCATAAGCCACGCCCTGTAATTCTTAAGCTCTTAACGATTATAGTTAGACTTCGAGAGTTTGGTGAAGCTTTCATGTAGAGCTTAAGAACCGAAATCTTTATTATCTGTTTGTAATGATAAGTCCAAGGTTTTCACGCATCCCTTTGTGTTTGTCAGGTTACAATCTTAAAAAGAAATTTGCGTCCTTTACTTCTTTTTACATTTTTTTTTTATAAATACGCTCGTGATACTGGACAGTATATGAAAAGTCGGATTTACATTTGTCTCGGTAGACCTCTGCCTATTTTAGATACGTGGACATGTACGCGAGCGTACCGAATGAATTAAGGTACTTGCCATGTCTGAGTAGAGATTAAGCGGCTGAAAAAACCCCAAAAACATTAAAATTTAAAGAAAAAAACAGTTTTGTTTTTTTCTTTTGTCTTTTTGTCTAACGTCGCAGAATATACAGAACCTGCAAGGGAATTTGGTCAAAAGAAAGAGTTTGGTGGTCTGCGAACTCCGAAGCTCTTGGAGCCATCCACGTGGTGGCAAGGACTGCTTCAACCAACCCCTGAGTCCTCTCGCATACTGCAGATTCTCCCTTCTTCTGCGGCATGTGACAGAAACTGGTCCGAGTTTGGAAATGTGCACACCAGGCTACGCAGCAGGCTCGCAGGGTATCGCGTGCAAAAACTTGTGAGCACATCGCGACACTGTTAGAGCGAACAGGACATCGGCGCATTTTCTAATTTTTCTTCTAAATAGTATTAGCGAGCATGACATTTTATCGCTTACATTATAGAACTAAATGAGCTCTTTGCGTAGCAATAGTAACTTGGATGACATCCCTTGGTTTCAAAAAAAAAAAAAAAAACTGGAAAAACCGGCAATTGCTTGTTCGCGCTAACAGTGTCGCGCTCTGTACGTGCACTTTAACCTGAATATCTGCAAGGCTTCGTCCGCTGCACAGCGAAGCATTGACGCGTCAAGCGGAAAAGAATCGGACTTATCGGACACGGATTGATATAAACGTCGGTCTTGACGCTTTGACGTGAAATCAATTCCTTGACCTTGAAATCGTACCTAGATTTAGAAACCGGACGCTCTGCTGGAGCCTGGGACTTTTGTGGTGCAGTAATGTAACAATTAAATTCTTTTCAGTGTTAACCAAGTAAATGCATCGGGTTTTCCATAGCTCTGTGCGCAATCGTACTTTTTCAATTTTTTGTGTTTTCTGACAAAATTTTTAATTTTTCGTATTTTCCGAAAAAACAAAACAAAACAAAACAAAACAAACAAACAAACATAAAAAACTGTTTTTTTAATGCTCCTCGAAATTTCATGAAATTTTACATCTCCATGTTTCAGACGTTGTCTATATATCTTTCTCTTCTCTCGCTTCTTCCGCTTTCGACCATACCGTTTTCTGCATGTCCCAGCTGGTTCGCTTCCATTTTTACACGATGAGTATAGACCTTTTTCACGAGGGCGCCGCCATCTTGAATTGTCGTCCCTTCCAGTATGGGCGAAAACATTGTTTTGCCCTCGCCACGCCAATAGAATGTATTTAGGAGATAAGCGTAACTGGCACCCATCCTCGTTTTGTCTCCCCTCTATTTTTTTTACTATTTACAGGTTGAAACGTTTTAATATTTTTTGTCGCCCATACCGGATATGCCTTCTTGGAAGTCGGGGCCGAGAGTAAGCGGAAAAGGTCGACGAGTTGCCGCGGCGACCGCGCTACTCTGGTGTCTCACCTCTACCTCACGACCTTGGTACCGACCACTATACCGTCGCTGTCTGTCCAGATGACCTGGGTTCGCTGCCGCCCAACGCGAGCTCCATGGATTCGCTGCAAATCTGGGCGCACGAGGTGAGAGCGGCGAGGGATAAGCAGTTGGACGCGTCCAGAGTGGACGTGGGACCGCTGTACCCGCTCGGCACGAAACTCATGGTGCGTGTGGACGACAACACCTTCGGCGTGCCGGCAGCGCTGCTGGTGCCTCCGTTCTTTGGCCGCGGCGGGGCGGAGTCGGTGAATTTCGGCATCCTGGGCACGAGTGTGGCCTCCGCGCTCCTGGGGCTCGCTTTCCTCGGGGAGCAGAACACCACCAAGGTGGAGAAAGGATCGTCTGATCTGAGCAGGCAGCTGAACAGCACAATGGTAAGTAAAAAAAAAAAAAGTATGTTGTGTTTAAGGAGATAATATACTAGCATAGCCTCCTTTATACTGACAAAGCCTGGCAGATCACCACGAGAAGGGGCCGCCGAAATGGAAAAAAAGTGGAGCGGCAGACAACGGATGAGAGGAGAGCCACGTGGCTGGCGCCCCGCGGCGGCGAGACGCCGAAACACACTTCTCCCAATAGAACAAGTGTGTTTCGGGTCCTCTCCGCTGCAAAAGCTGTGCGCTGACGTCCAGGTTCCCCTAGGTTCCTCGAGATATATGGCTCTTTGATGCTCTGTGCTACCAGCTCCTCGCGCTCCACATCTGCGACCGGGCACTCTACGATGGCTCCGTCGTCGAACTGCCAGGCTTTGTGAGTATAGAGGAGGCGACGATACTATATAGTTATCTGCGAGGTTTCGCCATGGGGTCTGGAACGCCTGTCTCTCTGGAGCGTGTACCGCATTCTAAAAAGTGCAGTGCCTCGATTTTCGCCCGGTGACGTAGACAGGTTATGTTATCACCGGCCGCGAACCTTTCCATCGACCGTCCCAGCAGCGACGGTTGATGAGGCAGACGCCTATTTTGCCGCAGGTCGCTCAGCTTTACGCAGACCCCGGAAACTTCGACAGCCACTAGTTAGATTGGGACGCCGCAAGGACAGCGACACTCAAATTCGCTCGTATACTTTTTTTTTGTTTTGCCGGGACTTGGCGACATCTGGCAGCAGGATATGCCGGCTTCTGCGACGTCATTTGCTGCCACCTCGGAGCCACTTTTGTTGTAGGGGCTGGATAGGCGGACGCTAAGCACGCCAGTCGAAGACGCGTTCCAATATATGCACCGTATAGTTTGGCAGCGGATCCCTCGTGTCTTTTGCATACGTTGTGGCCCACTATATGCTGAGCGGGAAAGCTTCTCCGCTGAATTCACCGAAAAAGAAAAGTTCCACTTCTAAATAGCGGAAAACCAGTGTCGTGACATTATGACATGATACGTGATGGTCATGGCATCATGTAACGTCGCAGATCACACGAGCACAGTTCGCTGAATTTGGTGGGACGTAAATATGCTGTTCATACGCGGCGGCGAAACCGTGAACAGCAGTGTGTAAAACGGCCCGAGAGTCATTATAGGGTTCATTTACCGGACAGATCATAGAACATTTGTTTACGTTGTTTTTTTGTTTTGTTATAACGCTCCTTGAATTGCAGTCACACGGCTCATATACATCACACACACAAACACACACACACACACACACACACACACACACACACGCACGCGCGCGCCCACACGCACACACACAAACACACATACATACATACCTTTACTCGATACACTGTGTGCTTCTTCGTCGTCGTCTGTTTTTCGCGCTGTTTCCTACGATGAATTCCCACCAACGCGCCCAACTATCCATTCTTCTATTATGATGATGATGGTTTGCGGCTGTTCCCTTTTGAATCGGGTGGTCCCGTAGAGTTTGGAACTTAGCCAGTGGGAATTCGGTTATCCCCGTTGGTGAACTAGCATCCACCAGTTCTCTAATCTTCGCTTCGTGGCTTCCACCTGCTCACGCCACCCTCCGTTGGTTCTCGGTGTAGCGTCGGTGTTGTTGTTGCCGTTAGTCCCACCCGCAGAGTCTGCCACTGAGCTGGAAGCAGACCCAAAGCCGAGTGCCTCTGCCAGTGCGAGCTCCCGTGTTGCCTGTCCACACTCCGCCGGTTGAACTGGTTGCAGACCGGTGCACGACAGCACAAGGTGTTCAATTGTCTCATCCGCCTGACCACACACACGGCATGCTGCAGATTCCACCGTCTGGTCGAAGCGACGGCGATACATCTGCGTTCGCAGCCCTCCTGCGCGTGATTCAAAGAGGAGCCGGCTACCCAGGCTGTTGTCGTATAGCCTAGTCTCTGCCGAAATGTTGTGCTTATATCGATTGTACATATATAGCGTCGACTTGGACTTCGCCGTTTCTGCCCACCGAGCTGCCTCCTCCTCTCTCACCCTGTTTCGAATCTCCATTTCCCACTTGCTGTCTGATGTAATAGTTACAGGGGTTGAAAAGAAGCCGTATTTCTTCTCTAACTGATACAGCCGCTTCCTCCAGCCAGTCTGCATTCCCGTGAGATATGTGTAGACGAAGAGTCTCTTGGCCCACCGGCCGCGGTCCATGCGACGGAGACGACTGTCGTAGGTTATCTTGCTGGTCGCCTCCCTGGCCTCAAACGACGACCACCCAAGATCTCCCTGGACCGCTTCGGTGGCCACCATTCCGTGACAGCCCAGAGCCTGCCTCCCGACCTCTCGTTGACGACGTTCCATTACTTCCCGCACTGTGCCAGGGACACAAAGAACCGTGTTGGCGAAGGTTAGTCCAGGCACCACAACCGCCTTCCAGAGTTCGCGAGTCACCAGAAAACGGTTGCAACTCCAAAGATTACGTTTTCGGAGTACATTCGTACCTCGCACGGCTGCCTGTCGGAGGTGGGTGTAATGATCGGACAAGTACTCCGGCTTGTTGGCCAGTACAACTCCCAGGTATTTGTACGACTCCTGTACCTGTGCTTGCTCGCCGTTCAGCACCAGACTGTTTAATTTAGCCTCATCGGACCCGGCTAATTGAAGGACTGCCGACTTTTTGGCGTTGAAACGAAGGCCCAACGTAGCCGCCTCCGTCTCACATATACATATTAAACGCTGCAGGTCCTCCACCGTCTCCGCCGTCAATACAATATCGTCCGCATAGGTGAGGCCCGGCAGCATCCACCTCACCTCTGCGCCTCCTTCCATGTGTGTCAGGGAAAAACCCACCTCCGACTGGATCAGGCGTTCCTCCAACCCTGACATATACAGGATATAAAGAAGCGGGGAGAGTGGGCACCCCTGTCGGAGACCCCTCGTCACTGTGACTTGCTCTGAGTCGACTCCCTTCAGTTGCGTCATTACTGTATTGCGTGAGTATAGGCGCCGTATGACAGATAGCCACCGATGAGGAAGGTGGAGCTCCTCCAAACGTCGCACGAGTTGAGCGTGCGGCACACTGTCATATGCTTTTGCCACATCTAGAAAGCAGCACAGCAGTCTTCTTTTGTGTTTTCGGGCAATTTCAATACACTGCGTGAGGGTGAACAGGTTGTCTTCCAACCTTCGACCCCTCCGAAATCCGCCCTGAAGTTCGGTGAGCAGTTCGTTCTCTTCAGCCCATGCTACCATATGGTCCTTGATAATGTGGGCGAAGGTGCGGTATACCGTAGAGGTCACGGTCAGGGGCCGATAATCCTTGAGGAACTGTTTGTCGCCCCCTCTCTTCGGGATCAGAACCACGCGGCCGACCCTCCAGTCTTGGGGCACAGGTTCCTCTCCCCTTACGATTGCTCCAAAAATATCCGCCAGCTGCTCCACTGCATCTTTTCCCAAGGACTTGAGAACGCTCGCCGGGACCCCGTCCAATTCCTGGGAAGTAGCCCCTTTCAAGCGTGCCAGTGCACGCACAACCATCACTCGGCCGATGTCCCCCTCTTGGTTGGAGTCCGATTGATCCGGGGCAAGTCGGCCTTGTGGTGTGGAAACCTCCTCAGGAGCAAACGTCTCCGTCAGGTACTTGGTGAGGTGGGTTCCAAGGTCTTCTGGCGGATTCCCCGTGCTCTCGTCAATTATGGTAACATCTTGGTCCTTTCCCTCCAGCGATCCAAGGTACTTCCAGAACTTTCTCGCTGCGTCCCTTCCGCTATTATAGCTGGAAAGGTTGGCGCCATCTAAGAGCGAAGGCGGAAACCATACCTGTTGCGTGCTTGCCGCCGTCACTTATAGATGGCGGTAGCTGTCCAGGTAGGTTTGTGTCGACATACACGGACCCGATCCTGGAGAACCTAGCCCTTAACAACTCCGCTGTAAAAAAAAAAAAAAAAATGCAACATTGTTTTTTACACACAAGAAAAATTCACAGTCGGGCATTTTGGAAGCATGTCTGTTGAAACATGCATCTAGCAAGTTCGTCCGCTACTAGCACAGGGGTTGCGATGACGTCAGAAATGCCGATTTCTTATTTGCTCATTAAAACGAAAATAGTGGGTAGACCTCGAGGCATCAAGTACTGAGGTCCACCTACTGTCCTTTCACTCAAAGTCAATGAGAACTCGACGTCGTTCCAACGTCGCCGCAACTCCTGCGCAAGTAGCAGACGACTTGCTCCCCGCATATCCTGACAGGACCATTGTACGAGGAAGTGAACATGCCTCAGACCAGGGTGTAAGATAGACAGGTGGGGAAACGAGAGCCAAATGAGTGACCGCATTGTGTCCCCCTCGGTTTTCTCTTTTTCTGTGGCGCCATCTATGTGGAGCACCGCGAACCCTCACTCCAGGTGGGCGACCGGTGGCGACCGGCTAAACTGACGGAGATGGTTTCTCGTGGATTTTTAATGAAGGACTGTCGTGCTCTCGGTTTATTTTGCGCACTCTCCCATAAAGTTCCACGCAAATTCGATTCCAATTTTTTTCTTCTCGCCGCAGCGCCATCTGTCGCAAGTCGGGGGTACCCGGAAGCAGACGAGTACACAATCCGGTCACGGCGCTGCGGTAGGCTTCTATGGGCCGTTTTCCCACCTGTCTATCTTACACCCTGCCTCAGACAGTGTTCTCTGCGGAGTGTCCTTTGTAGGACGCATACTAACAGCGCGAGCGCTGCTTGAGGGTACCGAGATTAATCAATCGGCCAATCCTTCAATCGATCGCAGAACTGCCTGAACAAAGCCTACTGGGAAGTGACGGGAAAGACGTTGGACGAGGCTGACTTGGAGGGCGGCTTCCTCCAGTGGACTTCGCTGACGCCCGCTTACATGGCCTTCCTGTCCATGTCGGAAGGCAAGAGGCTCAAGGGACTCGAGTTTCTCGGCGACGAGCAGCTGTTCTACGTAGCTTTCTGTTACTCAATGTGCGAGAACGCCCAGGCAGCGTCCCTGGGAGAACGAGCCTCTCTGGCGTCCTCTCGCTGCAACGTTCCCCTGAGCATGGCTCCACAGTTTGCGGACGCCTTCCGTTGCCCCGCCGGGTCCCCGATGCGCCGGGAAAGCCCAGGGTGTTCTTTCTGGCTCAGCTGATCATATCTGCGATCCAGAAAGTGCTCTGCGTGGCGTCCTCGATCCGGGAGTTCCCGGATGTCGTAGTGTTAGACTTTGTACGTAATTTACCGGGGGTAAATTACGTACTCGCTGCTATATAATACTTCCAGATTTAACTCTTTCAATTATATCTGTTTCTAAAAAAAAAAAAGAAAAGGCGCGCAAGGTTAGAAAATATATATAAACAAATGTTTTTGGAAAAAAACGGTTTGTGTTTTATTCTATTTAAAAAAAAAAAAAAAAAAGCCAAACACATGTTTCTGAGAAAAGAGTCAAAGTACAGGCTAGCTGGTGGAAGTCAACCATTTCGTCGTTTACCCTGAGACTGGGGGTTTTGTCTGTTTTTTCTGTTACTTCTGCTCTTCAAAAAAAAAAAAAAAAAAAAAAAACCCAGTCTCAGGGTAAACGACGAAATGGTTGACATGTCTCTGTTACGTTCGATAATAAAGTCTGCGATCGTGTGCTATGCATGATGTTTTCCCTTCTCGTTTTGTACAATTGCACACGTTTCAAATAAAGAAGAGACTTCGCATTCCATCGACTTTCCGGGTCTCACTCCTGAAAACAGCTCGCCACTCCATAATGTTTTGTTTAAATCTCGAGAATAAAATCACTTTGGATGGTGACATTTTAAGAAACGAAGAAATTGTTACGCTAGCGCTTCTAGCTTTGTGATTGGTTCGATCGGCGTTATCACCGGCTAACGCTGCAATGTCATTGGCTGCGATAATTATTAAGTTGTTCGGTACCCGCCACGTTATGCGTTTCTTAAGATGTCGTTGTTTTTTTAAGAAAAAAAAACAACAACAAAAACATAGTTGTCTAGCGTTGACGCTGTTTGTTATCAATATTTAAGATGACAAAATTATTTTTAGCAAATATTTACACTCAATAGGATGAAGGCTAAATAATATTATACGAGTTTGAAAATGCATAATAATTAAATTGGCAATTCTTGTTCGCAGGCGAAGCGTGTGGTTTCAGTCTCGAGTCTTCTGGGATTGACGTCTACGCTCTCGGTTCTCTTCATTCGCTAATTTAGCGACGATAGCAATTCCTGGAATAAAGATACCGACGCTGACCCGTGTTTTAAACTCCCCGCGCTCTTCCAAAACCTAAACAGGCCAATCAGCGTCGAGTTAGAAGGTGTTACGTCACCCCCTGGCTTAACCAATCAGCATCAAATTAATCGGCGTCTTCACTTTTCAGCTTCACACATATTTCTACACTCCCCTTGACGAGACAAAGCACGTTTCACGTGAAACGTTTGATCATAGTTATTATATACATAACATTTTTTTAATGTACCCTGTTACATGTTTATATGTTACGGAGGCATGGATACTTTTGATAAGGCTCAGATGGATGTTTATTGGCTGCCCATCGCATGCGAGCAAGGGGGAGGCGTGCCAACACCACCTAGACAAAAGGCTTCCACACGCGTCATCATAGATCGATCGAGGCGAGAGATTGGGCACGAGTGCTGCCTCAGTGTTCGGCTGCGGCTCGTGGCCAATCAGCGCGTCGAAGGTCGGACTCGGGTCCAATAGCCAACCGAGCGCGATCCGGCTGTGATGACGTTTCATAAAAGAAGAGGAAACCATGCGGAGGCCTTCTGTCTAGGTGGTGTTGGGCGTGCAGGCCATGGGGCTAAAGTCCCTCGATGAGACGTTACATGGGGCAACGTTGGTGGACCAATCAGAACTCGGAATTCTGACGTCACGCTGCACTCTTTGCAAAACAGCTGCCGATCTTTGATTGGAAGGTTTAGGGGGTAGATGTAACGGCATGCTGCCCTTTGTCTCCCTTTACCGACTTCCTCCAATCAGAGTGAACAGGAGCGTCGTCTGTTCCCAGAGAGAAAAGAGCAGACGAACGTGCCCAAAAACACCTACCAGAATCTTTTTTTTTTGCGGTGTGGCGGTTACGTTGAAATACAACGTAGTTAGGTTGGGAGACAAATAACGAGCTAGTAGTTTAAACGCAACGATAGTAAAAGAGTATAATACGGGAAACGATAGAACTAAATACACCATATTCTGACAAGGCTTTAGATCAGCAGAAGAGCTTGAGCTATACGATTCATTTGGCTTGATCGAAATTCGTTTGCAAAGTGCGTTCAGCCGGACGCAAGCAGTGAAACTTTAATTCGATTACGAAAGGTCTCTTGGTGTCAGCGGGTGTGACACTTAGTGGCACTCACTCGAGAGCAGTCGCACTTATTAAGAGTCGGCGGATGAAAATGAGGGACCACTTTAAACGAAATAAACTACTGTTCGCGACTCTTGAGCGAGATATGCGTCTTGCGCTAATCACTTGTGATTAGCGCAAGGCGTGAATTTCACTCGAACTCATATCTCACAAGAATCGGTCTCGTAAAATATCCGTTTTTTTTTTTTTTGGGGGGGGGGGGGGGGGGGGGATGGACAACGATACACTTTTTACATGCAAGACAGTTGTTGTTGGTTTGAAATTACATGGAGCGCATTTTATCAGCGCAAGAAACGTTCAAACTGCGATTACTGATCATGCGGTGCTAGCAGATTGTTTCCTTCGTTTGTCTTTGTTTTCTTCTTCTACATGAATTTGCGCATACATAAATTTTCACGCCAAATTTAGCGGGAAAACTGAATTGGTGCATAGGCCATGACGTCAATTTTTTCGCTAAATTTAGCGGGGAAACTGTTTCCGTGGCCAGAAAACAGGGTACATATATAGCTGAAAATCTTGAGTAGTAACCTAATAATGCTAGCGCATTAAAAACAAGGAACAATGCATAAAGCGGTATTGATGATTTACTGCAGAGTGGCGGAGTTGCCATTCCGGAGTCAGAATGATTCCGGAATCATTCTACACTTTCGTGCCTTCGGGATAGAACGGGCACGGAGTGGCGGCAGAACGGGGAAGTATGGAATAAGATTGGAACTAGATGCCTCTTGCCCGGAATGGAGTGGGAATGGAATGGGGCTCGGTTCTTACGCGTGCTCTGTCGATCTTCAGCTATTGCCTACTGCCCACTACAGCGCAATGCTGTTGCATGGTCTAAGTGACTCTTCAAAAAACATAATTGTACTTCAGGCGACTAACGGTTTGACTGTGTGACAGGCTCATGCTTTTACGAAGATTAGAATTCCTGTATAGACCATTCCATTTAGCGCTCTCTGGGCGGCACCATTTTGTTCGACAGCAGCGCCCTCTCCATACATCCGGGAAATTCAGCGGGTTCGGCGGGGTAAAACGAGAGAGAGGGCACGCGCCCGACTCCGCTAGCAGACGACAAAACGGGAGGTTGCCATTCTCCATCTTTGGGCTGTATCGGCGGGCTGTACGGAACATCGAACTCTCGCTGGTGGCTGCCGTTGTGAAGTGGTTCGCGTTCTTAGAATAGTTATGGCTACTCCTAAATCAGCCTAGAGCTCTCTGTTGTTCTACTTCGGTAAATGATCAACTGACATATCTTTTTTCGGTTACTTAAATAGCAGTTGAGTCAGCCGGCAGTACTACCCTCAACTACTGCGTGTATTGCGGCAGGAGAGCACGTTTTTATTTAATATTTCAGACATCCACTCATGGTCGCTAAAGGCCTACACCAGTACGAACTTTGTATAGTAAAAAAAAAAAAAAAAAGGAACAGCCACCGGATTCACTTTTCGCCGGAGAGACCGGCCAGTCTGACACAGTTTTCCCTATTTCTTTTTTTATTTGCACGCAGATAACAGCGTAATTGAACTATGTTCGTCTTTTTTTATCTAGCATAATATTGCACGATAACTGACATACCAAAATCTGCGCATCTGCGCTTGAAATTTCCAAAATTACGCGATTTTAAACAGACTTTGCTTGTCAGCGGGATGCTGGGTACAGCCCACTCGGCGGAGCAGACGACAAACGGGCGAGAGGAAGAGAGAGTTTTTTTCTCTTTTACCCTCTCTGCTATGACCCTAATGGAACCGTCTATACGGTACGATGGCCGTCCGGTACGCGCTGCACATATGGGAGACTTCTGTGGTAGCGCATGCGCAGTTCGTACCATGCACTCTCAAGAAAAAAGGGTGTAAAAGGGTGTGTCGTTACACCCTTTGTCCCAAATAATACAGCCCAAAACTTCAGTTCGACGTACAGCGCCCTATAGTCGAACAGACGGGCCCAAATTTTACGAGAGCTTGATAACGGTATGATATAACTTATTAAAATACCTAATGTACGTATCAAAGCTCACATAAAGAAAACGCCGAGTTTTTACAGTAGGGCCAAGGAAACCCCGATTATTTTTTTTTGTTGTCAGTAACAAGTACATTAGCTATTTTGATAAGTTGTATCACAGACGGCTATCAAGCACCTCGTAAAATTTAGGGCCGTCTGTTCGACTATAGGGCGCTGTACGTCGAATTGAAGTTTTGGGGTGTATTATATGGGACAAAGGGTGTAACGATACACCCTTTTTTTTAGAGGGCAGAGGGCCCATAGTACCGTATCGGATGTGCAAAAGCGGTTCCCTCAAACTCCCTAATAATTCAGTACCAATAAACACAGGGTAATCCTTTGCCCATCCGTATACGGTACGATGGGCCCTTCGGTTTGCACTTCACATATGGGAGACTTCTGTGGTAGCGCGTGTGCAGTTTGTAACGGAGGTCCATCGTACCGTATTGTATGTGTAAAAGCGGTTCCCTCAAACTCCCGAATATTTCAGTATCAATAAACACAGGGTAATCCTTTGCACGTCCGTATACGGTACGATGGGCCCTTCGGTTTGCACTTCACTATGGGAGACTTCTGTGGTAGCGCGTGCGCAGTTTGTACCGGAGGGCCCATCGTACCGTATTGTATGTGCAAAAGCGGTTCCCTCAAACTCCCTAATATTTCAGTATCAATAAACACAGGGTAATCCTTTGCACGTCCGAACACGGTACGATGGGCCCTTCGGTTTGCACTTCACTATGGGAGACTTCTGTGGTAGCGCGTGCGCAGTTCGTACTAGAGGGCCCATCGTACCGTATGGGATGTGCAAATGCGGTTCCCTCAAACTCCCTAATATTTCAGTATCAATAAACACAGGGTAATCTATTCAAGGTACGAGAGGACAATTGCTTGTCCTCTTTTGTGTCGAG